CTACTGGATTGCGTGGGGGTGTCTCGATTTTCTCCATAGCTTTGGAAATATGTGGGAAAGACCATAGCCATAAGAAAATGAACTTCTCCTCGTTGATCTCTGTCGTACTGCTTTGTCATTGCAAAACGCTTTATGGTGAGGTTGATCTCTGTCGTCCTACTTTCCTAGGGCTCAGTCCAACCCAACCGGAAACTGAAAGAGGATGTACGAACGCTCATCAGGTGTGATTCCGAGCTGACAGGAAGACATTAGCGGTAAGCCTCTTGAGGTCTCAGGGGATTTATGCCTGGGGAGTGACATGTCTCGGGTCAATGTTGACACGGAAACTTGTCTTGAAGACAGGTGATGACATAAAAATCATGCTCAGTAGGATTACGCTGAGGTCCAGAAAAAAACCTCCTTTGCTTAATCTTATTTATCTTTGTTAAAGTGGACCCCTGTTTGGATGACTCTCACCTCCACAAGTGATCACAACACCTAACGGACTGATGATTGTCTGTCTCATTCCTTGCCTTTTGCCTCTTTTTGTGTTTTAGAAAGACCTGCTGCCCAGAAACTCGCCATTCCAAGACGTCCAGGTGAGTGATTCACATGGTTTCACCTGATCTCCTACTACAGTCGGACAACAGAAATTGTGGCCCAAAGGCATTTGGGGTTTTGGTATAAGCTGAGACGTGTCTCCTTGTTTTTTCCTGACCATGACTGGTTGAGTAATTATTGATGATATTCCCGTTGAATATTGAGATTTCCCAGGAACTTGGAACAATTTCCACTTGAGTAATTTTCAAGACCCTGGGTCCCAATGCGACGTGTCATGTTGAACTGGGAGAAATGTACAAGTCGACAAATGTGTTTTTCTAAAATATTTATAGAAGGGTTATCGCTAGGGGCTCTACTGGCGCGAACCTGGTAACTTCCTCTAATTTAAAGTCTGTGTACATTGCCACTTGACGCCTCGGTTCCACAGGACGGTTTTTCCCAGGAATTTTGGAATTGAATGAACGAATGAGTAGTCTGATACCTGGTTCACCCTTTAAAGAAAAGGTAGCTGCGCAGATCTGCTTCCAAAATCTTCCTTCAGGGTAGATGCCAGTGGTTAAGAAAGGTGTCCGGGTCTTGACTGTTTTAAGGTGCATAGCATAGAAAGTCATGATCACCTTAATCTCCTTAAAGGAAATTTAGGCATAACTGTTGCCATCCACGTGTGGAAAGATGATTGTTCTTGAGAATTGGTTGGAAGCCTGTAGAGTTGTCATAAGACTGGTGCTCTGAGTTGTATCCCTAGGGTTCCACTGATGATTGGAAAACAGGGGTAAATGGGTTCCCTCTGTTGTGCTTTCCGTGACATGAGTTGTATTCGGACTGTCCATGGTTGAAGTGTGACATCCAACAGTAATGGGAAGTTTCTAGAAGAAGTGTTGGCACAATCCTTGGAAAGGAATGGATTTGACGAGTGTTCTGCCAGCAGACTTGTAGCTCCCCAGATTTGCATTAAAGTTGGGTTTCATTTCCTGGGAGATTCCATGCACTGGACAATAGCTGTGGATATGGTTATGGCTTTCTTCAGTAGATCAGCCGGGGCTAAAAAATGGAAAAGCATCTTCTTGCACAAAACCCTGTGAGAACTGGCTGTTCGACCAGAGACCTCTAGGGCTCCTCCTCACGTTGCATGCTTCTTGCTTTCTGTCAAGGGTCAGTGGTGTCTCTACTGGTTTGTATGTGGGTTTCTCCATTTTATTCATAGCTTTGGGAATATGTGGGAAAGGTCATAGGCATAAGAAAATGAACTTCTCTTTGTTGATTTCTGTCTTACAGCTTTGTCCTTGCAAAACGGTGTGTGGTGAGGTCGATCTCTCTTGTCTTGCTTTCATAGGGGTGAATGCAACAACACTGGAAACTGGAAGACGATGTGTGAACTCTCATCTGGTGTGATATCGGGTGACAGGAAGAGGCCGGTGGTAAGCTTCTTGAGGTCTCAGGGGATTTATACCTGGGAAGTGACATGGCTTGGGTCAATGATGATACCTAAACTTGTCTTGAAGACAGATGAAGACATAACAATCATGCTCAATAAGATTACGCTGAGGCCCAGAGGAAACCTCCTTTTGCCCTACCTTATTTATCTTGGTCCATGTGGACCCCCATTTGGATGCCTTCCACCTCAACAAGTGATCAAAAGCCCTAAGTGACTGATGACTGTCAGGTTCATTCCTTGGCTCTTTTCCTCCTTTTTTGATTTAGGAAGACCTGCTGCCCAGAAATTCAGCATTTCAAGGCATACAGGTGAGTGATTTAACGTGGTTTCACCTGATCCCCTGCTACTCTTGGACAACAGAAATTGTGGCCAAAAGGCATTTGGGGTTTCAGAATAAGCTTAGATGTGTCCCTGGATTTCCTTCCTGACCAAGACTTTTTGACTATGTGACAGTGATATTCATGGTGAATATTGAGAATTCCCAGGAACTTGGAACAGTTTCCACTTAAGTAATTTTCAAGACCCTGTGTCCTAGGGCGACATGTCATATTGAACTAGGAGAAATGCACAAGTAGAGAAATGTGTTTTTCTAAAATATTTATGGAATGGCAATGGCTAGTTGCTCTACCGGTGACCCTGGTAACTTCCTGTAATTTAAAGTCTGTGTCAATTGCTGCTGGACCCTTAGGTTCCAAAGAGAGGTTTTCCGGTGAATTTTTGAATTGAATGAACTTAATGAGTAGTCTGATAGCTGGTTCTCCCTTTAAAGAAAAGGTAGCTGCATGGATCTGTATACTAAAGTGACTCTCATTGCAGATGCTAGAGATTAAAAAAGGTCTGAGGCTCTTGAGTCCTTTTAGACGTATGCCACAGAAAGCGATGATCACCTTACTCTCAAACAGGGAATTCAGGCATAACTGCTGTCTTGCACATGTGGAAAGATTATGGTTCTTGACAGTTGATTGTAAGCCTGTAGATTTGTCATAAGACTCGTGCTGTGTGTTGTATCCCTAGGGATCCACTGATGGTTGAAAACAGGAGGAAATGGGTTGCCTCTGTTGTGATTTGGTTGGCATGAGTTAGATTGGATCTGGCAATGGGTGAAGTGTGACATCCAACAGTAATGGGACTACGGAAGTTTCTGGAAGAGTGGCACAATCCTTGGAAAGGAGTAGATGTCATGAATGTCCTGCCAGAGTACTTGGTAGAGGCTGCACAGGCCTGGTTCAGTATTATTACTCCCCCTTGCTAACTGTCACATTGTCTCAAGATCTTGTTTCTCCAGTCTCTACCAAAAGGTGTAAGGTTAACTGATGTTCCTCCCTGGATGTGGAAAACAAGTGATAATGATCTAAGAATGAAAAAGTAAACAGAGCACCCATATTGTGACAATTAAAAGCAGTATGCTGCCAGATAATCCCCATGGATGTTCCCAGATAACCCTTAAGAATACCAGTAGAAAGTTAACTCATCTGAGACATCATTGCCTCAAGGAGAAACTACCAGAAAAGATCCATAATCCTGTCCCTATAAAAGACTTCAGCTTATCTCCAGTGGGAGAGACGGGTTTTTTGGAGGAATCTATTCCACTCCGTCTTCTAAATATGTATATATAATAAACATCTTGCTGCTCACTTCACCCGTCTCTGAATCAGCTGTTGCAGCAGGTGGCTTCAATCCGTATTGTTTCAGTAACAAATTTGGTGGCCCATATGGGGATTTCAAGCCACTTGAGACACAGCAGCCCCAGGACAGGGCCTGGACTGATCGATGGTTCTCCTGACAAGTGGCCAGAGAGGTTTCATTTGCCTCTGGGGAGACTATTGGCCAGATCTTGGTCTGTCAAGGCACCGCTGGTCTCTAACCGCACCAAAAGAGGTGGGTGAAAGAAAAGCAAGACCTGTAGAGGAAGGATCCCAAGATGAGTCTGTGACTCAAAGCTGGGGAAGATAGGGTAAGCCTGAGGTTTCCGGAGCGGGACCTGAGCCATTGGTTTCTGGGGTGACAGGCACCCCCAGATGACCGTACCCTTGAGTAGGCTCGCCAATAAGTTCTGGTTCTGGGTGTGTGAATGTTTGTGTGTTTGGGAGATTGAGATTCTCTAGCATAACCTCTGCTGGCAAGCAGGGCCATCTGAGAGGTTGAAGGGGGTCAAGAAAATCTCTGTCAGCTTGAGGGATTTATTCTTTTACTGTGGTTTTGTGTTTGTCCTGTCCATTTTCTGTGTGTAACTAGTAGTATACCATGTACTTGGGGCCCTGATTTGGCTATTAAGAGAAAGCTTCAGAAAGAAGGAAACCAAAAGCTTGAACCTTATCACTTAACATCTTTGATATATGAGCCTGGATTTCCCCCCCACTACTGATTCACTGATTTGGGGTTCATATTTAAAAACACTATAAACTGAGTATACTAGAAATAACTTAGAACTTCAGTGGCCACTTTGGGAAAATGAGTTTTCATTTGTGTTATCTGTTTTTTCCTTAGGGAACTTTGCTTGATGCTCAGGTTTTGTCAAGAGGTCTAATATTCCTCCATCTGAGGCTCCAGCAAGTTAATAAGTTTTATCTAGAACCTGTTTATGTGGTCTTTCTGTCTCCTTTTGTTCTAAGAACTTGCTTCTGGTCTAGAGCATTGTGTCTAAGTTTGTCTTGTATTAAATTGGTGGCTATGGCTAAGAATTGCTGTATTTTGTAAGGCTAGTCATAGAACCTCAGTTCTCTCTTCATCCAGAAAAAATTGCATCTTGTGTCTGTCTTATGATCTAGATTTTTAGAAGCTACTTGGTGATACCTTGATATAAGTTGGTCTATTTGAGAAGTATACTAAGATCTTTATGTTTTATACTATGTCAATCTTGTAAGTGAAACCTTTCTAAGTAACTTAAGCTAGGTATGAAATGTGTTTTATTTAAGGAAAAAGGATAGTTTTGTCTTAAGGTAAAAAATAGCAGTTCCAGAACAGTAAGAAAGAAATTAGTTATTTCTTGTCCTTAAATTCCTAGGTCAATTTAAACATATGTAAATGAACTGGAATGACGTCCCAGTTTTGTTAACAAAGAATTGTTGGATTCGTTTACAAAATTGCTAAAGAGCTTTGCTATTTACTGGGTAGATAGCCTTTCAAAATGCCTCCATCAACTTAAACATATGTAAATATCTTCCATGAGTCAAGACAGTGAGGGCAGGACACAATCAGGCCTCCCACCTCCCAGTCTCCAAGGTCAGGTAGCTCCAGGGAAGATTTTGAAAGACACCTTTCCAGCTAAGTGGACACTCTTTTAAGACAAAAGATAAGAAAAACTGCTGCTTTGCTGTAGTTATCAGAAATTGGGTAGATCCTAATCATAAAACTGTAAACAAGTTCTCTCTATTATAGGCAAACTAAGAAGTCAAAAAAAAAAAAGAAACC